CCGCATCAGCACAACAAGGAGGGGGTGTTGTCTACCATAGGGGGGAGAGGTGCCCGGGCCGGCCGACCGAGCCGATGTGTCTGATCTATAAAAGCTTCGGCCACCATCTCGGAGCAGTCAGTGCTATCCGCACAACTCCAAACCCCCCAAGTTCACAATCATGAAGGTCCTGGTGAGTAAAGCGATAGGTGCAGTGCGACGTGTCCAGTGATGTGCTCGGTGTTGTGTGCGCCGCGGCGCGGTGCGGCCCCGCCCCCCAGGAGTACAGGGGCCCGCACCGCGACAGCGTTGTGGTCACTAGAAAGTGCGACAGTAAAACGGAGGACGACGCCGCCCGGCACCGCCGGGGCCGCCGCCGACGCGTTGAACGTTCAGAATGAGTTACTGTGAAGTTGTAGTGTCTTGGGTGCGCGCTGAAGCTCACCTCGCCCGTCTTTGTGTTGCCGCAGGTCGTTCTCGCTGTGGTGCTGGCGGTGGTGGCCGCGGAGGACGCCAAGAAGGAGACCAAGAAGGACAAGCGCGGCCTGCTCGGCCTCGGCTCGTACGGCAGCCTGGACCACGGTCTGGAGTACGGCAGCAGCTACGGCGGCGGCTACGGACACGGCTACGGACACGGCCTCGACCTCAGCCACAGCCTCAGCCACGGCCACGGCCACGCCATCATCGGCGAGCCCCAGATTAAGAGCATCCTCATCACCAAGGAGGTGCCCGTCGGCATCCCCAAGCCCTACGCCGTGCCCGTCATCAAGCACGTCGGCGTGCCCGTCAAGGTCGCCGTCCCCGTGCCCGTCGACAGGCCCGTGCCCGTGCACGTCATCAAGCCCTACCCCGTGCACGTTGACAGGCCCTACGCTGTGCCCGTCGAGAAGCCCGTGCCCTACCCAGTCAAGGTCGCCGTCAAGGTGCCCGTCGCCGTGCCCGCCCCCTACCCCGTCATCAAGCCCTACCCCGTGCACGTGCCCGTCGAGAAGCCCATCGCCGTGCCCTACAAGGTGCCCGTCTACATCAAGGAGCACTCCCACCACGACCTCCACCTCGACCACCACGAGCTCAGCTCCTACGGCTCGTCCTATGGCTCGTCTTACGGCCACGATCTCCACTCTCACTACTAAGTCATTTCTATGTTTTGCCCTTCATCTTCACCTGTTGTACAAAGTGTCACCTTCATGTCACCACTAGAATAAATTCTTTTCCTACCATTTCTGCATTTTGATTGTGACCCCCTAGACAAAAGATGCAGCCTCCCATCATGCCTCATTACAAAGTTCTTTGGGAAACAATGAGAAGCCGGCGTCCGCTCATTTTGAGTGATGTGTTATGCATGCGGCCTCAAGCGCAACTACTTGTGGAGGCGCTCAACACCCGCCAGGCTCGCTAAAATAATGGAACGTAGAAATATACAGGAACTTTGGCTTGATCACGGTCCAACTATTTCTGAAAGCGGCCCCTGGCCCCGGCGTGTCGACGGGTGTCGGATATTGAGCGTTAAATGTATCATTTTCCAGTTCAATGAGTTATGAGAAATAAAACATGCGGGAACTTTCCGCAGAATCTCCGACGCTGCTAGCACAGTGAGAAACGATTCAAATTCCCTTTTCCAAGATCAGTAGGCTGGCGACATCCGCCTGCCCTCTTGCCCTCCCCTCCCTTCGTCCGTCAGTCTGTGGTTCCATCCGTACTCGCTGACCCGCGTGCGCGTTCACCGCCGGAGTTATGCCTCGCGTTTTTATAGTCGGTCCTTAATTTTCAACTAAATGTATTGTTCGTGTAATTTCAGAATTACCTTCTCTGTGCGATCGTGAAGCTGTTAATCGTCTCTCGGTCTTATTTTGGCTTTACTCTTCTCTTGTCCTGTCGCACCGGCCCACGCTCCTAACCTCTTCAATGTCTTCCAACACAGGTAGCAATCTAGTGAGTCTAGGGATTGTCCACTCCACTCCGAAAGATTTCAATGCCTATCTTCATTTTCTCATTCCATTAATAAGTAATTCGCATCAGATGGTGCATTCCGTTAAAGGGGCTGCGGTGCGAGATACCCGCCCTGAAACTTTTTGAGAACGGGAATGGACTGGACACGCCCTAAAAAATGAGTCTAGCGACAGCACTTTACTGCCCCCAGCACGACTCGACTATAGGTGAGTACCTGCAGCCAGCCTACACTGTAGTTATGATGCGCCCTCTGAACGTCACAGCACATCACTGATGATCTCACCTGTGCAGTCTAGTTACCTTCCCTATTTCAAATTTTGTCATTCAAAAAGTCACCTAGCTGAGCAATTGAAGATTGTAAATGTACACTATCTGATGTCTGTACTTCCTATGTCTACTTTTGAAATTCCGTATAAAGTTGCTAAAGACAGTGTTTATCTTTTTTCTCGAGGCTGGGTGCAATTTGGAGGGAAATTCATAAATTTTATACTTTAGTAAACAAAACAAAAGTTTGTTCAAATACAGAGTCAATTTTTTGAATCATGGTTTTAAATTCTTAAAGAATTACTCTTTAAATCTGTGCCATACATTTACCTGATATGGCTTAAATTTTACAGAAACCCGCCTTGTTATGACAGCTCTCTTTGTATTGTAGTGTCTTGTGATCTTATCACAACGTGAACTCAATAACTGTACAAACTATATTATTAAATTAAATATAATAATTTATTTTAGAAACAACAATAATTTAACAGTGCGTATATACAATATTTACAAGACAGAGTACGACAATATGACAATATGGTGCTGTCGCATTGGCATTCAATGCAAGTTTCCTAAAATAAATCACAGTGTATAGTTCAGATGCTAACTTACTACCAGCTGTGTGACTCATGGTGGTCATGGTAGTCACCATGGCTGTCACCATGGTAGTCACTATGGTACTCTCCGTGGAAGTCGCCATGGAATTCGCCGTGGTGCTCGTCGTGGTGGAAGTCGTGGTGGTGAATGTGCTCCTTGACGACCAAGGGGACAGGTACCTTGACGGGGAAGGCGACGAGCTTCTCGACGGGCACCGGGACGGGTCGGTCCACCGGAACGGGCACAGGGTATAGCTTGTGGACGGGCACGGGCACCGGGACCTTCTTGACGACGGGCACCGGGACTGGGTAAGGCTGCGGCACGGGCACGGTGTGGACGTGGTGGTGCTCGACGCCGCCGAAGTGGTCGTGGCCGAAGCCGGTATGACCGAAGCCGCTGTGCCCGAATCCGGTGTGCCCGAAGCTCGAGTGGCCGAAAGTGTCGTGGCCGTAGCCGCCGGCGTACACGCCGCCGCCGATCTTGGAGTTGTAGCCGTTGTGGTAGCCGGCCTCGAGGGCGTGCGCCGCGTTCTCCAGGCCCGCCGTCAGGCCGCCCAGCTTGTAGCCGATCTTGGAGCCCACCTTGCCGACCGAGTGCGCCCCGAGCCGGTAGCCGAGCTTGAGCCCGATCAGGCCGCGCTTCTCCACGTGCGGCGCCGCCGAGATGCAGCAGGCCGCCGCGGCCACCGCGACCAGAACCTGCCGAGTATGACAAATATAGGAGCCGTGTGACGTACCTGACAAGGGAACCTTTTCAGGTGTAAATCGCCGGTTTCGTTGAAACTTGGAAAATTTGAAGGTTATTTATGTAGAAATCGGATGGCACTAGAAATTTTTCCTGAACCTAACAATTAGTTTTCCCCTATATAGGGGTAGGAGTACGGTTTTTATGCATGGTTTTTATGATATTTTTTAAGGAATGTGAGGAAGTGTTTTTAGGGGTAACTCATCGAAGTAGCGCCCTTTGGGCCAAAATTTTGTCCGTTTTGCTCTATTTTGTACCGTTAAGGCGGTAGAGGGATATTTGAGACAAAAAACAGTGTAAGGCTTAAGTAAACCCCTAGCAACTGTGAGGTTCAGGAAAAATTTCAAGTGCTATCCGACTTCTAGTACAAAAACCTTTAAATTTTCCGAGTTTCAACGAAATCGGAGATTTACACCTAAAAAGGTTCCCTTGTGAGAGTCTTCTCACGGCGGTATAATTGAGTTCAAAACCCTCGAAAACACAGCAAACATTTTTCCGGGAACTTCCCGGTTGGATTCGGGAAGTACATTTTCCGGTTGCTCCAAATGTTATAACATGCATAGATATGACGAAAAATAGCATCCGGAAAATCACTTCCCTGATTCAACCGGGAACTTCCCCGAAATATATTTGCTGTGAAACTTTTGACTTTCAGGGATGCATTTATCATGCCCTCCAATCAAAAACTCGATTTACACTTGCACCCCACTTTTGTGAAGTGCTCTACCCTAAAAAAAATTGTACTTGACAACCGGGGCGTGAAGGGTGAGGGCAGTACTCCGCGTTGCGCTTGGCACAGGGTACCCGAGCCTGACCCCAAGAGTGCTGGCGGTACCTGCAGGGTACCTACGGGGCGACAAAACCACAGCCACCAGTCGGTGCTAATCGCTGTGCGTCGTTCCTGACGTGCACGTTGCCCCATCCTAAGGTTTGCTTCACTGCTTACCCCCCCCCCTCCTTTCCTCCCACTCTTCCCTAAAAGTCCCCCTCTCATTCCCCCCCCCCCCACCTTCCACACCTGCCCCTTCACCCCACTCCATCTCTTCTGGACCAGCACGCATGTGTTGGACCACCCGACCAAAATATATATACACACACACACACATCAAAACTGGATTAGCGAGTCATTTACCGTAACCTCCCCCATCCTATTTGCTACAGACCCGTCACGGCCGAAAGTCGTTTCCCACGATTAAAAATAACTACTCATGCGACGGGGCGGGTGCGTATGGCTACGCAGCTTCCTGTCTTGCATCGCGACGCGGTCTGCTGGGCATCGAGTTGTCGCCCGTGCGTGCCTGCAACGAGGACACCACTTCGACGCTTGTTTTACGTAAATACTCCTGCCTGAATTTGTCAGATGCATGTCCACGGATGTTTCTGCAATTTTATGACGGAGAGTGTCAGAAGGGTGACAAAAGTCTGCAATTGTCATGCATATGGCAGTGTTCAACTTTCTGGAGCACACTCTTAGGGGTTTGTCGTGGGTGCGACTAGGCCTCTGTTTGAATATTCGCGGGCCCTCAGCGCCGCGTTATCAGTTAGTTTGAGTGAGAGCGACTGGAGCTTCGGCTGGTCAGAGCACCGGAGCGACAGTCGCATCCCAGCCCTCGGCAGACACACTAGCAGCGGAACAATGTAGCGCAAGGTAGGGCAAGCCAAAACAGGTTGGACTTGGAACTTGAAAATTAAGTTGCAAATTTTAACCCTTAAAAGTAAGTGCCCAAATCTTCATGGCAAATCCTGAAGTTCAACACCTATTAGCGTCTAACTTCACTGTAGAACATTTTTTTCGTTTTCAAAGATCTAGTCAGTCAAACACTTAAAAGTGTGTAACGTAGTGTTGAGCACTTGGATGTGTGCGCTAGTTACACTCTTTCAGTGCAGGTAACTAATGGTAATCTTTGTCAACCCTTTAACCTACCCCTTCGTCGGTTCAGTGCACAAATTTTATCTGTTTGGGGTTGCTTACACTAGGTAGCCCAAACTTTTGAACGGATGTGGGTTCGCCTCGCACTCACTTTCGGTGTGGCGGTCCCAATGACTTATCGTGCACTTGCCGTCCCGGCCGCCCCTCCCCATCGTAACCGGAGTTTACGACCGAAGGCAAAACTGTCCACTTGACCTGCTTTCTGGAGCCTCGCATAAAAATTTGCCCCGCCATTATTAGCATTACTTTTATTATGCTTCGTTTACAATGCAATTGCAACACGCTTGCAGCCGAATGCATGTCGCGCTAAATCACAGGGGAGGTTGACTCGAGGGATGTGTGCAACCCCGATCTACCGCAAACAACCATTCCAGGCCATTGTATTGCATGTGTGTACTCATGGAAAGGTGGATTAAAACAGAATTGCGACCGGCAACCGCTTGTAATTGAGCAGCTCCAAGTTTGTGCAATTACAAGTTTTCAAATAGTTAGTACTTACTAATCTGTAGTGAAGTTGCACACACTTACAAGTGTTCACCGGTCGCACACTTGGGTTATGGTCCTGATTGATGCCTGTAATTAATTGCGCTCTAATTACTCCCGAGGAGGGTACTCACCATAATCCTCTTCATATTTTGGCGATGTGACGCTCGCACTGGCGGCCGGGGCGGTGTGGCTCCCTTATATAACGTTTCACGGGGATCCGTGTGTATCCCTTCCACATTCCCCCAGTGGGGCCCAGTGGCCCGGGTCCCCGGGCCCCAGCCAAGCCCATCCTGGGGCAGCCCCGGTGGTAGGCCCCACTCGCCGGGAGGCAGGGGAGGTAGGTGGGCGGGGGCTCGCGGGAGGCTCGAAGCAGGCAACCGAGGGCCCGAAGGCCCCCGGAGACCCCCGAAGGCTCCTGAACACATAGAGGCGGGTTTACTCGCGGCCTGCTTGTCCGGGACGCGGTCGGGTGGGAGGGAGGGGCACACCACCGGGAAGGGGTTTCTTCATCCTTGGGCCTCTGTCCCATCGCCGCCCGCACGGAGCCGCCGGGTCCAAGTGTGTGCATAGTGAGTGCGACGGCCAGGGTCGGGTCCCCGCCGCGTCCCCATCGTCGACGACGGCGCCGGGGTCCAGGTCCCCTCCCTCCAGTCGGCTGCTGCGGCGTCTTCGTCCCCCCGAGTAGTGGTACTCCCCCCCACCCTCCTATACTCATCCCCTCTCCCCTCCCACCCCCCTTTTTCCTCTCCACAACTCTTTGCTTCTTTTGAAACTGGGCAAACCCCGCCGTGATTCATATCAGTCACGTGGCCGCTGGAGCGGGATCTGCGTCAAAGTTGGCCTCCTGGGAGGAGGACGACGACGACGGCGAAAAGAGATCTCGAAACCTTCCGGAAAACTTCCCCTCTCTCTGCTGCCCGGGCGGTGTGGCGCGGGGCCGCCCGACTCTTCTTTAAGTTTCGCTTCTTCATCTCCTCCCCCTCCCCCCGCTTGCCGTGACGTTTGCCGTTCAACATGCACGCGCCAGGCCATTCCCTCCAAGCTCTAGTGCTTCTTTTTGCGCCGGGCCGGTGGTGGGCCGGCGGCCGCGGTGTCGCGGCGGGACCTGCTAGTTTGACCCCCCCCCTCCCCACTCCGTCCGCGCGAGCTTGCGCCTCAACTGACAATAGATGCACATAGGGGAGTCGAAAACTAGATCTAGTTTTCTATCGCATTTCGCTATTGTCGCTCGGGTTCAAGCACAAACGCAGTTAGTATCAGCGCACATTGTAAAAAACGTTTGCTGGCATATTCAATTTAAAAATTTCCTTGGGCAAGGCCGGCGCGGGGCCGTGCTTCGGTGAAATATAATTTTCCGTACAAGTTCCGATTTTGAATTGCAGAATTACGAATTTCTGAACTTATCCACCTATTAACGTGCTTTTTCTTATTGTAAGAGTGAGGGTGGGTGCTGTCGCAAATTTACGATTCACATTCGAATTTTGTGAATTATCAAAGGTATTTTTGGCAGTGCAGAGGTGATCGCCCGTTCGCCCACGCCTTCGCGCAGCGGTCCGGTCCGGTCCTGGGCGGGGCCGCGGTCGGCCGGAGTCAGGAGGGACGGGGGGTGCGGGATGGAGGCAGGGGTATAGGGGCCCGGGGTGGACTGGAGGGGACTGATGTAACATTACCGCAGCCAGCGCGGCCTGGCCTTGACAGTGAAAGTCGGCCGGGCGCGGCGCGGGCCGGGCGGCCGGTGGGGGTCTTGGGCGGGGCCGGCGCGGGGCCGTGCTCCCGCCGCGCCGCCGCGAAACGGGGCCAGAGTCTCAGTGTCATGGCATGCAGATCATGTTATCCTAGTTTATTTAATTATTTGAAGACAAATTACTACTTTGCGTGCAATGCTTGGCTGCTCCTTTTAGTGTTGGTTGTGTGTGCATCGTTGTGTGCTGCTGTGTAACGTTATCAGCGTCTAGCAGTAAAATGAGTACGGAATAAAACGTTTTAGACAGGTTATATCTAAGTATCACTTTATTGGTTTGGAGCGTGCAGGTGAGCAGGTGACTGTATTTACATTACATGACGTATGGGCTTAGGAACTTATGGTTGAGTCTGTGACTCATAGTGACTAGTAGTGGTGGCCGTAGGAAGAGCCGTAGGATGAGCCGTAGGATGAGCCGTAGGAGCTGAGCTCATCGTGGTGGTCGAGGTGGAGGTCGTGGTGGGAGTGCTCCTTGATGTAGACGGGCACCTTGTAGGGCACGGCGATGGGCTTCTCGACGGGCACGTGCACGGGGTAGGGCTTGATGACGGGGTAGGGGGCGGGCACGGCGACGGGCACCTTGACGGCGACCTTGACTGGGTAGGGCACGGGCTTCTCGACGGGCACAGCGTAGGGCCTGTCAACGTGCACGGGGTAGGGCTTGATGACGTGCACGGGCACGGGCCTGTCGACGGGCACGGGGACGGCGACCTTGACGGGCACGCCGACGTGCTTGATGACGGGCACGGCGTAGGGCTTGGGGATGCCGACAGCGACTTCCTTCTCGATGAGGATGCTCTTAATCTGGGGCTCGCCGATGATGGCGTGTCCGTGGCCGTGGCTGAGGCTGTGGCCGAGGTCGAGGCCGTGTCCGTAGCCAGCGCCGTACTCTAGGCCGTGTCCGTAGCTGGCGCCGTACTCCAGGCCGTGGTTCAGGCTACCGTAGGAGTCGAGACCGAGCACGCCTCGCTTCTCCTTCTTGGTCTCCTCCGCCGCCACAGCGACCACCACCACGCAGACGGCAACCTGTTGCGAATATAAAAATGTTATTTTTAGATTTTTGTTTTTTCTACTTGTACTTGTTTGCACAAAATGCGTTTCTTTTTCGAACCTTGCACAATCATATGAATTTGAATTAAGTTAACGCATGATGCTACTGTTATTGTTTTAACTCTTTGTGGTCACCTCAGGTTTTATTTCGATTTTGAGCTTTTATGTTTGATATACCCGGAGAACTTACCAGAAACTTCATATTTGCTGACTCGGATTCGACTGTGAGGATGTATCGGTAGCAGCGTGCTTTTATACGCCGAATCTCCCTCCCATACTCGCGTGTGTGGAGGCTGCGAAATGGACCCCGGCCAGGCGGGACCGGGCAGGACGCGAGGGTGGGAGAGGGGGTGGGAGGAAGGGAGGTGTCCAGTGCCAAATATTAGCCAAGAATGTCAAGTTCATGTTTTATTTTCCACCCTGCCATCGATGGCGTGGGGAGAAAGATGTCACCGATGGTGCTAGGAGTGCCCCGTGCACGCAAACGCACAGACTTTCATGTTCATGTGAATTCTACATTTTTGTGGCGCATTCAAAACAGCAATATATGTTTATGTGCTGGGTATTTCGGAGCGCAGGTCTGGGCGGGTAGGGTGGCCTCCCACAAGGGCCATGGCCTCTTGCAGGCACCCCCCCCAAAAAAAATAAAAAATAAAAATAAAATGATAATATTAATAATAAATAAATTTGAGAACATCCCCTTATTCTTAAGACAAATGTTCTATCTTTATATTCCTGTTATAAATAAAAGTGTAAATAGGGGTTGAAATAAGAACATTTGGCTAACCATTTTCGGGGTGTTCTTGTATTGAGGCCACAGTTTCTTGGGTGCAGAGGGAGTGCACCCGGCAACGTGCACCGAAACACCCGGCATGTAAAGCAAAAAGCATCGACATGAGAATTGTAGTTGCAGATACAAGTTGAAGTTTATCGGTACGTGTGCTTTCAACAGCTAAACTCTTAAGGTGTGCAAACAATTGCTCTTTAGAGCAAGGCTCGCCGGATTTGTGCCGCGCGGAATGTCGTGTACTTTAGTTTCCTGGTCACATCTCTCTCTCTGTCGAACCACCCTTGCATGTCGGGCCGTTTCACCATTACGGCTGTTGGCTCTCACGCGAGGCAGCGCGGCTCAAGGTGACTGTACTGCAGAGCCATTAAAAGTTCGACCGGGGCTCTCAAGATGAGGGGCGTTGCTGCACGATCACTGCCGCTCTCATCGCCTGCATTGACTTATCGCCAACCCTTTGGCGCCGACCTGCTCGCCATAGCGCGACTGTCGCTTCGCGTCCCCCGCGTCTTGACCACGACCGGAAGTCGGCCCCACATATCTGGAGACGTCCCGGGTAAACGGTCGTGAATTGTGGGTACAACCTTGCAGGGCTGACGAGTACGACTGCCTATATTTTCGGATGCCGATATAAGACTGTCGGCGACGGCATGTCCGGGACCAGTCGCCGCTCTGCTCCGCGTGCACCATGAAGTCGCCGGTGAGTGCTGCGCGGGAAGTTTGAAAACAGTGTTAAGTTGAGTGCTGTGGTGACGATATGTTTGTGTGTGCCGTAGGCGTTGGTCGTCATCCTGCTCGCCGGCGGCGTCCTGGTTGCGGCCGCGCCCGGCACGGACAAGAAATACCCGAGCCCTGAGCAGGACGACGTAGGCGCCGGCCGGACCTTCAGCCTCGTCAGCCTGCCGAGCCTGCTTCCGAGCCTCATTTCTGGGCCCGCGTTCAACCTGTTCAACATTAACAAGCCCCCGATCGTGTTCGGCGACCAGAGTCCACCCGGCGCCGGGGGCTTCTTCGGCCTGCCCCCCTCCGTCTGGGTCGTCAACTCGGCTGGCACCTCCAGCGGGTCTCCGTCGGCCACGGCAGGTTCCTCGTGAGCGATGTCAAAACAGAATAGTGATTGTGTGCCATCCAATTGTCTCTTTTATTGTTTATTCTTTTACCTTTTCCAACACCGCCCATTCGCTTGAAATCTGAGTGTACAACGTCGCACACCTGGGGGGTAGCGATTTAACTCACATTTGCAATGCTACTGTTGGAGGTGAGTTGTTGACAGCACCCACAAAAATAAGCTCTTGAACCAAGTAACTCTGCATCGGGACCGCATGGCCTTGCTGGATTCAAGTGCATTACCGTGTCACAATGCAGATCCACTTGACTCAAGAACTTTATTTTTTCTGAGTGCAGTTTTGTAGAGGAGAAAACAGCGATTCATACTCTCGTAAAAGGTGTTATTTCGTACAAGAGTGGGAACGGCCATTCGCTTAACCACGACATGTCTGCAGAGTGTTGATTGTTGGTCGCCCATCTGTACATTAGTGTGAATAATTTCGCTCTCTTCACGCGTCGGGGCGTCCAACTCGATCCCTCCTCGCCCAGACTGGAGCCATGCAACGCTTTCCAGGAATAATCAAACGAGGAGGTATGTCTTTAAGTATTGACGCCTTCGTTAAGGTGGATCACAAACGGCAAGTTCGTTTGCCATCATTTCTGTTCGTTGATTATAAGGGGCCGCGTTTCGGCTCAGAGTATGTATATCTTAAATAAGACCTTGCGAAAAGCTCGTATACACATGCCAACATTTTGTTGAACGATACCTGTTTTCGCGGTTCCCTACGGAGATGAGCGTTTTCACTCTCCCGTGCTAGCGGTCTGCAGACTCTAAAAAAAATCAGTGCAAAATTTTGTAACATTGATGGGAAGTTTTTTCAGTAACAAGATTACAAAATTTTGTAACATACGAGGTTACAAATTTTCGTAACTACGGAGTACAAGTATTTGCTTCCCTGGTTACAAAATTTTGTAACTTAAGATGTTACAAATTTTCGTAACGTCGCATTACAAATATTTCTTTTCTGATTACAAAATTTTGTAACATTTTGTGCTGTTGTGTGCAGTAGTTGCTGACACCCAAAAATTAGTCGTATTTCCTCATTGCCGTTCCGGAAGGGTCATATCAGTAACCTAATGCCTCTTCATCAGAAGTGCACAGTGAATAAGCCGTTCGAGCATTGCAAAAGTAGATTTTAGCAAAATAACTTTGCTAAATCTTTGCCTTTTTCCTTGGAGCAATGAATGTTCCGAGGAGAACGGTATCGATCAGTGACGCTGAAAGTCACTAATACTAAAATGAAGCAACGTGTAGAAACCGCCACAGTCATGTGTGGAAAACGTTGCCATACCCAACCGAGGAGAGTTGGCAGGTACCCTGCGCGCGTTGATATTAAACCAATTATATCTGACGCATGGTTGACTTTTTTAACAAAAACTTTTATATTCACTGAAGGTCATTGTCTTATAGAGCATACAGCGTAAAATTAAATGTTAGTTTCGCGTCAAAATTTGAGTTTTATGCAAAGAAATGGTTATTGTTAGAGACGCTCTGACCGTTGCGCCCTCTAGCGGCAGTTACTAGCGACACACGAAATCTTAAAATCTCTCGAGTCGAAGAGATTTGCCTTCCGTAGGCAGCAAAGGCAGCCCTTCTCTGCTCTCACACTAAGTTGTACACGAAAGTGTACAAGTTTTTGTTTTTGTTTTTTTCTGGCTGGCTGCAACAGCACATTTCTGAACCATATGGTACAAACTTTTGTAATTGGGACACAAAAGTTTGTGATGCGTGGATGCAAAAATTTGTAACATCCTATGTTACCAATTTTTATATCAACTTAACGAAAAATAATACCAGGATTAGGACAAACTGTAACAATGTTACAAATATTTGTAACAATTACAAAAACCTGCAAGAGTTACAAAAATTTGCATTCGTATTGTTAAAGTTTGTACGTCGGTTACAATTTTTTGAAACAATTACAAAATTTTGTCACAACATTACAAATTTTTGAATCAGCATCCAAGGTTACAAAATTTTGTTTCAAAATTGATACTAGAACTTGTAACTTTTTTTAGAGTGCGTAACCTAGCCAGATACCGGCCTGGCAGTCTTTCGGGTCTGTTCGACTCCGCTGGCCGTTCTGCGCGGTCGGTCAAGTCGGAAAATTCTCATCTCTGATTCCCTCCCGCTATGTGTGTGGTGCGGCGCTGACGCCGCGCGGGTAGGCAACCCAACCGGCGTGCGCCTGGCGCTGGGCGCCGGGCTGGGCCGCCGGGCCGGGCCGGAGGCTGCGCGCTGCGCTCGCGCTCGGCGAGTGAGCCATGCAGCCGTCACTCCGCCCGCCGGCCGTGTCGACGCGTTTTATTGGACTGATAACTCGGACACACACGGGCGTTATTGACCAACCGAGCTGCATTTTACGTTCGAACTGACGTCACACGCCGCCGGTCCTCTTCCTGCGGTGCGGACGCCGCCGCCGCCGTCGAGTAAGGAGAACAAAATAATCGCCGGTCATCAAAAATGTCGGGCGGCCGATAATTCCGATCCGGCTGGGCGAGCGGCCAGGGCCCGGCCAGGGGGCGGCAGAGGAGCCCGGAGCATGTCCCGTTCCGTTTGTGTGTAAACATCGTGTATAAAATGTGATTTCGAAAGCGTTGCACCACGTCGCCACACGACTGTTGTTTACCGCGCCGGCGGTGTCGGGGGCGATGGGGGGGAAAGGGGAAGGGTTTCGCCCTGGGTCGGCGTGGCGGGGCGTGGCGGGGCGTGGCGCGGCCGGGTGCATAGGACGACGGGAAGGTTCGCTCGGCTTTGGCGCGCACGCGGCCCACCTCGTCCCCCGCTGACCGCCGCCGTCGTTCCGTTTCCCCAATTGGCTCGAAAGCTTTCTTGTCACACACACGGGCCGCCGTCCAGTTTTGTGTTCGAACAAGGTGGCGTTATGCTAGCGCCTCCTTCCTTTTTGGCTGGGATCTCCGGCAGTTCGAGCGCAGTGGGGCGCGTCTGCCAACGGCAGGGGAAGTATCCCGTGCGTCGCGACGATTGCAAGCCAAAGGCGGAAAAGTGGGGTCCGGCAGTAAGCTTTACAAAGTTTTTGTTTCACAGAATCTTACGTAGCGATTGTCCAAATAGTACCTCCATTCTTCTCAGACTCATTCGGTAAAGTATGTGAGCTCAGCGCCTGCGAATCCCAGGGTAGGCCACGCTGCAGTACACGCATGCACTATACGGAGGATTTTGCCTACCTAGCAGGCGCTATGAGCGCTGACAGAGGCTGAACTTGACAGTTAGCAGAGGATTGGCGGATTGTCGTCGAGTTGACGCGAGTTTCGACGTCTTCTTGATATACGCGATGCGGTGCCCTTAGGACCTAGTCAGGGAGCAGCTCTCGTCGTGGTCGGAGAGGGGGTGGGGAGAAGTTCACAAAATCACTACCTCTCTCTTACCGCTGTGCTTTTCTTTTTCTCTGCCCACCTCCGACCTCTACCACAACAACCACTCTCATCCGCGCGCCTATACACACCGTGGCCTGGCCCTCGTCTTCGCACACCGTACATGTTTCGTTGTTGCCCCCCCTTCCCAAAATAAAAAGCTCGGGCTTTTGTCTGCCTTTTGTTGTGCTGCACCTCATGATGGACGGGCAGAAGAGTGAGCCTCCCTCTCTCTAACTACTTGACGGTGGTCTCTGAGAGCATCCGAGCGTGGTGTGGGGCGCGGTGGGCCCGGCATAGCACCTGCGCAGCGCGCACGGCAGCGCGTCCCCTCTTCGCCTCGCCCCACGGGGCGCGCGCCGCTCTACTGCTCTGCGAGGAACGTGAACTTGGGGGGCGTGGCGCGGTGAGCGGCCCGGGTCTGCTCTGGACCAGTCGGGCCGGGAGCGGCGCGTAGCGACCGGGAGAGTGGGGCTAGACACTTCTGCGTTTTTGCAGTTCGTGCGCCGGGTCCGACGCGACGGGTTACCTCACTCACACGCGTTCTGATCCTCTCATCATATTTCGTCTCTCTCTCTCTCTCTCTCTCTCTCTCTCTCTCTCTCTCTCTCTCTCTCACCACGTGGTGACACTGTCCCCGCCTCTTCCCAATCACTCTCCCGTGTCGCGAGTCGATAATGAGGGGCCCAGCCCCTGAGTTGCTGGACTGGCCGGATTCTGATGAGCTCCATCGAACCGCAATGAAAATTTATAGCTAAGGGGGGGGGGGGGGATTGTAGTGGGACGATGAAATGATATTTTTGGCTGAGGGTGGAATCCTGGACAAAAGTCTTGAACTTTCATTCTGCTGCATGTGCCTTTGCGCGAAATGACGGACATCGGTATCGATGACGATGTCGAATCAATATGTCGTTTCCACACGTTTTTTTGTAGTGCCTCTCGTACTGCTTGGTGCGGTGGCAGGGCCCTTCGCCTGGCCCAGATGCCTTGACCTATCGTGGCGCGACAGGCCTCCCGGGCCGGCGGGGCGGGCCCAGCCCGGGCCACCACTTGTGTTGCCTAAGATGACCCAGAACACGTCGTTTCAGCGCGACGGCGGTAGCGGCGACGTTGGCGACGCCTCCTCCAAAAACAAGTCCCCCTCAAAGTTCGATCACCGAGTCTCTTCTGGTGTGTGGGACTGGCACCCGTGTGGTGGTGTCGAGTACCTGCCGGTCAAGGTTCGTACCCGACTGGGTAATTCACTCAAATATCAGTATCCCCCCCCCCCCTACAGTAGAAAACCAACCATGGAAACAGGAAACGCCAGGAAAATATCAGAAATAAATCATAAAATCTAGGAAAAATCAGAAAATTAGAAAAAACAAAACATAAAATAGCAAGGAAGGAAAAACAGAAAAATTAGTGTATGCTTTTGTTTATAGCAAAGGACCCTCAGTGCGAACCACCAGCTCGTTACATTTGACGAGGGAGTTGTGCTCTGCGTCACACCCCCAGGCGTGGGCGGCGCATGTCTGTTTTGGCGAATGAGCACTGCTAGCTGGCCTGGTTATCATTTAATTACCGCTCCGTTTCCTAACAAGAACAACAACTACAACTGCCGTTGACTAATCAGCTTCACTTCGCCACCGTGTTCCGTCGAACCAGTTCCCTGACGCGCCCGTCAGCCGCAGGGGCCTGGAGCCATAGCGAAGGGCTCCCGAAATAGAATTATTGACGCAATGGGACCCCGTGTCGGAAAAACCCAATAGACCCTTTTCTCACGGTGGACGCAAGTGGAAGGGGTTCGTTAAATATCGTGCAGGGCTTTCTAACCTGTAAAAAAAAGTCTGCCGTACTGGGCGTGTTAATGCCAGTTTATTCTATTTTGTTGTCTGTATAGTCACGAAAGTGCCGACTCAAAGAATATACGCAACAGCCTGGGAATCACCCTAGTGCACAAGAACCACCCGACTGTTTTTGATTTTGCGACACATTGCTAGGACACAGCCGGTGCATCCTGGAATTTGAAGAATCTCCATCATTGCACAGAACACAACATGCACGTGCGGTGAACTCCGCGACAGGCGGGCGGGCCTTCCCTCCCGCACGAGACGCCGCGGCGCCGACGCGCCTGCGTTCGGCCGGTGACAAAGGGGGACCTGCTGTGTGTCGTCCACAAATTAGAATTGGCCCGTGTCTGCGCCCCTCTCTCAAGTGGATGGAGGCGCGGCTCGGCCAATGGCAGCCCCCTCCACAAACCTCCTCCCCCGAAACCGAAACTTAGCCAACGCCGGACTCCGGCGGACCGGGCCGTGCCTTTTACAAGTATATCGGTATATAAGCCGGGAGGGGCGTCGAGGTTGGTATCAGTTGTGTTTGGGGATCCTCACCATCAACACATCCAACAGAATGAAGTGCCTGGTGAGTATCTGACGAGCCCTTCACACAAAACACACACACACACACTTTTATTCATCGCCCAAAAATTTGGTCGACGGGCAGTATTTTATCTCGGAGCACCCGTGCCAAATGACAATCAGGCATATTTGTTCAAACTACCAAGAACTTAAAATGGTTAAAATTAATTAATTACTTGCCCTTTGCAGATCGTTGTCGCGGTGGCGCTGGCCGTGGCCTCGGCGTCCGAGGTCGCCCCCAAGGAGAAGCGCGGGCTCTCCTCTCTGGGCCTGGACGGTATCGGCTACGGCCACGGCTACGGCTACAGCCAGGGGCACGGCTCCGACTACGAGCTCAGTGGTCACGACCTGCATGACCTCCACGACGACCACCACCATCACGTCAAAACCCACGTCATTACCAAGCCCGTCGCCTACTCCATCCCCAAGCCTGTGCCCGTGACCATCACCAAGCACGTGCCCTACGCCGTCAAGGTCGCCGTCCCATACCCCGTCGACCGTCCTTACGAAGTTGCCGTTCCGAAGCCCTACGCCGTTGAGGTCAAGCGCCCTGTCGCCGTCCCCGTCGAGACCCCCTACCCCGTCGAGGTTAAGGTGCCCGTCAAGTATGCCGTACCCGCACCCTACCCCGTCGCCATCAAGAAGCCCTACGCCGTACCCGTTGAGGTCCTCAAGCCCTACAAGGTGCCCGTCAAGGTGCCCGTCTACGTCAAGGACCACCACGACGAGCACTACAGCCACGGTCTGGAGGACTCCAGCCTCAGCCTGGGTCTGAGCCACGGTCTCGGCCACGGAATCAGCCACGAGCTCGGCCACGGCCTCAGCCACGGCCACGACCTGAGCCACGGCCTCGGATACGAGACCAAGTACGGCGGCAGCCACAGCTACGCCTACTTCCAGCAGGGTCACGGCGGCAGCTACGGCCACGACTACGGTCACGACTACCACCACTAGGGTACGGCCACCGCGCCAAATCTCGCACCTCATTTGTATAGTATCTCACCCTTGCCATACATCACCTCAAACTGTGATCAATTTATAGTCCTTATATCGTCAAATAAAATGTGTTGAATTGTGTTAATACTTGGATTTCCGTTTGTCTCCACCCGATTTACGCCCAGAGAACTGTGTTACTTGGTGTGACAAAGGTTTGGCACTTTTTCACAAATTGGCGCTTTTTTCCTTAACACCTTAGGAGTATAGAGAGCGTTCACAAAGGAGGACTCATTTTATTTTTAGGAGTGAGGGCGCAACCAATAACCAATATCTTCCATGACCATTATCCGCCATTACCACAGCTCCTTGCTGCGGGGTCTGGGCCGCGCCGCCCAGCCGCTCGGCACGATGGCTTGCCTATCTATCAGGCTGAGCAGGCGGGGCGCCGCGCCGAAAGGAGGCCGCTCAACGTGCCACCGGGCCGCGCCTCCAGGCCACACTCATAACTGGCGCTAAAGCGTTTCCCCGTCTGCCCGTCATCGCCCTCTCTATCGTGAGCCTGTTCGGCCATCGAGCCGCGTTGTGCGGTAAGAACACGCGAGACACGTGTCCGACGTGCGGGTGCACGTGCGGGTGCAACGTGCGGGTGGGCGCCTCTTTATGGAAGACCTATGGGAGCACGGAGCACCCATAAGGGCTGTCATGGGGCGTGTCGGCTCCGTGTGAAAGTCTCGGCATCCCCCCCCCCCTCCCCCATCAACGCTTCCGCGACGATATATCGAGAAGGAAAACGCTTCGTCGGCTTCGTCTATACGGCGCCGTCCTGGCGCCCGGGCGCTCCACCGGCCACCCCCGTGGCCTGGACTCCATCGGCTTCCACGCCCCCAGACCGCGACACAGGATAGACCAGCAGACCCCCCCCCCCCCTTGCACACACAGCAGGACACGCCGATAACTGTTACTTCTGCACTTTACATGATCGCGTGATGGGCACCTACCTCCCAGAAAAATTGATAGCTGTAACATCCATCCGAGGGGGTTATCACCACAGAAAGTAGGTGTACACATTTCTATAAAAGTTAAAGTGAAAGTGACATAAAGTTGACTGAAAGTTACGAAAACTGAAAGAAAATTAGGACAAAAGTGACTAATCGTGCGTTGATCACGTCAAAAATGAATGGAATAGAGGGGATATAGGCATAGAAATGAAGCAAACGTTGTAAAACGGTGAAAAAGTGAATGAAAGTAGAAAAGTAAAAAGTTGAGGTGTACGCATTTTCACGTAGTGATTACCCCCTCGTATTCATCGTATGGTTACTTCAAAATATGGTTCTGATAACTGCGTGGTTGTTAATTTTGTTCCCATATGAAGGTGGACCCTGATGCGTTGTTGATGTAACCATTTGATGGTTGCTAGAGCCCTCCACTTCCATTGTGCTGTTGTTTGAGGGCTGCAAGGGAAGTTTGTGCAGCGCCAGGTTGGAGGTTGGAGGTTGGAGGTCTCTCTGCTGCGTCGTCGCATAGATTCTGAAGAAATACCCCTCTCCCCTCTTCCTCTGCACTAGCATGAACTCCTGTGGATATGGACCCCAGAGACACCCCATCATCAATAGTAGTATCGCCTCTTGCGTATGAGTCAGCCGGTAGACTGTAGCGGCCCGCCTAGGCTGCAGCTGCTGCTGCAGCTGCTGTTGCTCCCTCCTCCAATTGGACGATTATTGGACGCCAGTCACGACGGTTTTTTTTATTTTTCTTTCTATTCGTGTGCATGTAGTTCCGCCACCGCCGCCGTGCTGCCCCGCCCGCGCGCGCTGCGTGCGAGATACCATCTTTGTTACGGCACGGCTGCGCGCGTCGCGTAGTTGTGAGTCCGCGTGGGTCAGCCGCCCCGGCCCAGGAGGGTAACCCGGCCGCCATGCGTGCCGCGCGGCTCGGCCCGGCCCGGCCCGACCCGCTGGACCGTTGGGCAGGCCCTGGCCGCCCTGGCGTCCGAAGTGAACCGACCGAATCCTGAGTGAGCGATCAGAGGGCGCCGTTGGCTCCCCCGCCCGCCTGCCCGGACCACCAACACCGGGGCGCTGCGGCGGCGTCCACGAGTCCCCCCTTCACCTGCTGAAATGTCAAGTCCTGGTCTCTCGGCCCTTTGTGTAGTGCGCCGTCAGAAGTGGACCGACGTCGACGTCTCTCGAAACTATGTTGCGCCCGCTGCAGTGTTGTGCCAAATTTTGATAATAACATTATATTTTTCTGATGCTTCAAAAAACTCAGTACTTCAAAACACTGGGTTGACTAAAAACATACTATTCAACACATAATGAATGTATTTTTTTGACCTAGTGCGGAAACTTTATCCGAGCACATATCGTCAATACACAGCCTCTGCTGTCAACTGGATGGTTCGTGAAAACAGTACTCCATTCTCTCCAAGTGACGTAATTTTTGCACACATACAGTGCCCTCCCCTTCCCCTCCTGTAGTGATCGATTTTTATGGATGCGCAGTATTTAACCGTCTTGCAACGCCCTCGGGTGGCGTAACGGGGCCCATGAAGAGGCTGCTGCTGCGGCGCCGCCGCTGCCGCTGAAATGGGAGCCATCAAAATGGCGAAGGGAACAACGATTCGTTAGAGGGGCTCTCGTCCACCAGGTGCGCCGTGGCAGTAAGGGGTGCAAACCGAGACCAGTACGGCCGCGCGGACGTGGTGCGATGGGAAAGATCCCGCGCGAGGGTCACTCGCTCCCAGCTTCGTGCCGTGACGACAATCCTAATCTTTGCGTGATTTTTCCTGGCCCGACAACCTTTTTTTGCGCGATACCCGTGCGCGGTCGTGGTTCGCGAAACACCGGGACCACCGCCGGTCCGTGCGCTCCGCTGGGAACGTCGGGTGGGGGGTTGGGGAGGAGGAACGCGAACGGAAAAGGTAGAAAAAATAATCTCGGAGGAAATAAGGGAGGAAAAGTTCAAACTGGAGGGCAAAGTACTTCAGGAAAATCGTTTCTCGTCGAGCAGTTCGCTTGTCGCTGTGGCTGCTGTAAGGGTCTGCTTCAAAACTGAAGCCATGCCATGAGGCCGCCTTTTTACTTCCGCCAGCATTCTACAAATTAATGATTATAAAGATAACAATTATATAAAAATACAGATATACCGAGGAGTTGCTCAACCCCACACTGTAGCAGCTCTGCAGCAGCTGCTCTGGCAAACTATTTCCCGATCGCCCACGCTTGAGGATCTTGACAATTACGAACGAAAGGGGATTGGAGATGGTGGCGGGGGGTTGCATGGCGATTGTGGTGTTGGTCTCGATCTACTGATTGGGACGCTAGCAGCGCCGTCGCTTGTCTGTTTCTGTGAGAATGAAAACGTTACTAGGTGGCGCCGCGCTGCCGTCCGGCACAATGGAAGGGAGCGGCGGCG